TGTGAGAGTTTGGTGAAATAGAAATAACGATTTATGTACAAAATGTGGGAGTGGTCAAGCGAAGTGGGGAGTGATGTTGTGACTAAATCTTCACATCATAGCAGAAGTCTATGTCTAAAGTACTGAATAGGTTATATGGATAGCACCACCAGAAGTGAAAAGACAAATGGTTAAGAATGGTGGCCTCTGGGAAGTGGGGCTGAAATACTTAGGCATGCAGCATTGTTTATTATTCATTGTTTCTTATCCATTAAGAAACCCATCATCAGGTTTCTTTACTATGTAATATTTTAATCATGTGATATCACGTTGATTAAGATTTTTGAATAGCAAAACAAGAAATGAGCAGAAACTATATAATAAGAAGTCTGTTCAATTTCATGAATGGAGACAATCAATGGGAACATATGTCTTTCTCCAAGATTGGAGATAAACTGAGAACAATAGCAATGTTTCCTTAGATTAAGGAGATCTCAATGAATAAAACAAGAAATTGTTTTGGGAAAATTAACGCAAATAAAAGACTTCTGAGAATAAATATTTATGGGGAAGGACTAGTAGCCTGAGAAGTTATTAAATGTATAATTTTAGACAATTTGGGGATGAAATAGACTGATGGAAAAGAATAGAAAATCTATAAATTTAGCTGAAAGCATAGGAATATTTAATATGACAAAGAGGTATTTCACATTAATGAAAAAAACAGATTTTTCAATTAAATTGTGCTGAGTGAACTGACCACCTGTTGAAAAAAAAAGATTAATTTCTGTCTCATTTATTATCCAAAATAAATTCTAGATTTAAACTGATTTAAACAATGATTTCTGGTTCAACATGTTAAACATAATAAAATGAGGAAACTGTAAAACTGTTGCATAAAAATATGGGAACATTTAGATCTTATCTTGCAGTGTCAGAAGTCTTTTTAGGCAAAATAAAACACCTTAAATTAAAGGAATGATAAATTAGACCGCATAGAAATTTAAAATTTATGTTTGCAAAAATACTATGAGTGATAGGGGGGAAAATCCATTAAACATATATGACAGGTAACGGTTCATCTTGTCAATTTATAAAGAGCTAGTAGAAACCAATAAGGATTTAGGGGACTGAGTCAACCGGAAGGAAAATAGCATAACAAAAGGAAAAGTAGTTCCAAGGAACAACTTTCTCTAGGCCTTTGTTCATCACCTTCTTTTCCACCATTGAAATCCTACTCATCTTCATCATGAAAGCCAATTGCCATCATTTTTCCAAACTTGTTCTTGACTTACCTGAGAGGAATATGTTGGTCCTTCTAACTTGCTTTTGGGTAGCTTTACCATATTTCTCCTACAGACCATATTTGTCACTTATTCTTTTCTTATAAATTTCTTAAGAGAACAAACCATGTCTTCCTCATCTCAATCCCCAACACATCAAACCTTCAGTAACCACTAATTACCCTGTTTGAATAAATAAACTAAGTGGGTTCTTTAAGGGACAAGATCCTGCAGATAATATAAGTCAATAAGTGCACTTGACTCAAAACTTCAAACAAACTACCATTTGGATTTAAATTTCTGAATAAAATCTCAGCAAAACTGATAAGGCACCATTCCTGCAGGACACAAATTAATTCTCAGCCTATAATAAAAGTATTTCATGATACTCCCTTTCATTGGTTTATTCATGTAAGCAGCTATAAACACACGAATAACATTGTACAGAAAACTTTGCTCTCAAATATAATTCACAGCATCTCATAATATGAACTTTCAGGTGGCTGAGCTGTGCGGAAATGAGATTATTTTCTTCTGAGACTCTGAAAAGAGTAGAGGATAACCCCGATGTTCTTGCCCACATCGCTTATCTCACAGCAACAGGTTACAGTCCCACAGCTCCACATTCCTGAACATTTACTGAATGCATAATAGCTGAGTGTTCATGAAAGCTAATGCAGTAGATGAAAACAAACTAAATTGGTTTGTGCCCAAGGCAGCTGAAAGGACCACCTGAATTTTTGGTCTGAATACCAAAAATAAATTTATTGGGCTTAGTCATAATCATTTTGGTTACTTTGGAGAAAGAAATTTATGTCTAATAAAATCCCTTTTGTATTGGTAGATATTTTTACTCTTTATTGCAATTGAGTCTTTAGGATGAACACACACTTTCACGCTAGTGACAGCTCCATTGAAGAAAATACAGCAATCTTATATTTTATGTAAATCATCTTTGGAATTTACGTTCCTTGCCTTTGAAGGTAATAAATATTCAACAGGAAAAAAAATACAGGAAAAAATAATTGGCCCCCATGATAAGCCCTGGCAACTTATGAGGTTAAATGATGTGTTA